ATAATTTTATTGATCTCTATGAGTTAAAGTTATATCTTCAAAATTTGAGATCTTAAATTTCACTTTAGGGAGTAAATGGACATTCTACTCCTATGGGACTAAGAATATTTTTTCTCACATGAAAATCTTGAGAATGGACCATGTATAAATAATGCGTTACTAGATGTATTAATTTTAGAGCTAGAAATATGTTTTTTTTTTTCATGATTACTAATCTTGATGTTGAGATATCAATTAAATGGTTTTTCAACGTCAAAATAACATTTTTCAACGGATTTTAAAGATACACCTTAATTCTATATATCAAAGTGTCTACTTTATATAAATGTTTTTTTGTAACGGATATAGTGTATAGTTTTTCTAAGGTTGTAGCCTTAAACAATATAACTTGGGTGCAACCTTAAACGATCAAAATAAGATGCACTTTCACCTCTTGTCTTGAGATATAATTTTAGTGTCAAAAATTTGTATGATGATAATATAATTTATTTTTGTTTTTATTTTAAAATTTTAAATTAAAAAATAGTTCAAATCAATCAAATCTATATATCTTTATATTAAACGGTCTGTCTTGCAAAATGTATTATTTGTAAAACTTGAATGAGATTAATCCCATGGGGCAGTGCTGGCTTTATGCTATATGCCCTTTTTGGTTTTATTGTGGACGTTATTGGCATGAATAATTACAACTGGCGATGAAATGACTCCAATGGATCGAATAGAATACAAAATTGAAGCGATTGATGCGACCTTGAAGCGATTGATGTGATCCTTTAATCTTGGATGATCAATTCAAGTCTTGTCATTGGCAATCCCCTAATTGATCAAAATTGATCGTAAAATCATTCTGTACATTTCCTCTTGAAAATAGTAATTTTATTTTGACCGGTATAAATTGTAGTTCTTTTATAAATCACTATTCATGGTTTTTGTTTGATTTTATTACAAGTTCGAAGATTAATATTATTTTTGTATTGGCCCAAATTTAAAAAATCACCAAGAAACGAGTAGCTAAAATTTAGTATTAGAAATAGTATTCTAAAATCCCGATTAGTGGGGTGAACGATAAGAAATGAAGTTATATATTCAAACCACATCGAGTGGAATTTACTGAGGGTAGAGGTTGCTTATTGCTTTTTAAGAGATATGCAACACCTACCTTATACAATGCACCTTAAAAGTTATTATATTAACCTAAAAGATTTTATAGTGAAGGAAAACCTTTATATAAGGTTGCAACACCTACCTTATACAATGCACCTTAAAAGTTATTATATTAACCTAAAAGATTTTATAGTGAAGGAAAACCTTTATATAAGGTTGCAACTTTAAATGTAGAACTAAGGTGCATCAAAAACAAAATTTATCATAAAAACATGTTTGGAAAATCTTCGAATTAATTATCTTGACATCGAGATGTATAAATATAGGGAAAAAAAATTATTGAATCTAAAAAATAGTGCATCTTGCAATAAATTATATGGAACGTCCATCTTCAAGATTTTTATGTGTTTATAAATTTACTTAATTTGAACCATTTTTGGAGTCTAAATTTACTTGATCTGACCATCCCAAGAAATTTTGACACCAAAATTATATCTCATGATAAAATTTGGAAATGTTCCTTATTTTCATTGTTTAAGGTTGGAACCTTATACAAACCACACCGACAGTTAACGTGCACCTTAAAAGCTAATGTTAATACACTATATACTTGAAAATTTTTGTCCTCCATCAGAAGTATACGACCCATTTATTTCTTCCAATAAAATTTAATATATTTTTTATGACCTCAAATTTTGGGGATGTAACCTCTTCAACTAGTAGTCTTACTTTCGCTTAAAAAAAAAAATTATGAATTTGAGCTTTATATGTACTAGATAAAAATGTCTCAAAATTGAACAGAGATTGCCTAATTTTGGATGGGCGAGATGTAAGTGTTAGAAAAGTCAAGTTTCAAATGCTTTTTCCTATGAAAATATTCATATAATGATTCTTAGGTAATTTCCAGTATTCTAGACTAAAAAAGATCCTCCCAAGTAGATCCTTTGACTGAGGAAGTAGCTGCACAATATGCTCCAAAGGGATGCGATCATATATGACATATAAATTGGCGACTCATCCCAAGAACCAAATTGCCTTTGGGTTATTTCCAATCTGGATGGAGCAATTCCAATTCGGAAATTTTTTAGAAAAGATTATCTTGAAGGTTTTGGAAATTTTGGTTGGTCCTCTTTGATTATTAGAATTATTTATTGTTAGAATTTAGAAATGAATAATTCAAATAAGACCAAGGCTTTTTTGACAATGCTTTTCTATTAATGATTCAGCGGAGACGTCGATGAAGACAACGATTTTTCGAGGATAAGCTTGAGCTTCTTATACTAAAATAATAATAAAAATAAGTGGAAAAGAAGGAATATTGGGCTGGTTTGGTTTCTTTTATTTGCTTGACCTTCGAGTGGACCTATCTGATGCAACTAGTGAACTAATACTAGTTCAGTATGAAATGGTTGCTAGATGACACAGTTGAGTGTGCCAATTGGGGCGGTTAATGGGCCCGGTCTAGTCAGCAAACCTTTGGGTTGGGCCCAGTTTCAGATCACGAGTTGAGGCACATGTTAAGGATGGTGGACCTGGCTCGGTAGGCCCGAAGAAGTTTTTGGGCCGACAGCTCGCCTTAATTTTTTCGAGTTTGGGCCTCAACATCATAAATTCGGGACGAGCCCCATTTGGGGCCTAAACATAACTTTCTAGTCAGTCTGTGTTCTGTCCTTCCCTACATGGTTTCAGGTCTAGGCGTGTAATCTCGAGCACCGCCGGTTAACAGCACTAGCGCACCTCACCGTCTTCTCAAGGTCCACACTACTTAGCCATCTCAACTTCTAACGGTTGAGGAGGTGTTTGTGAATGGCATTGCAGTGCAACTTTGTTAACGAAGGTTAATGCTTGCAAAGTGTTTAGAAAACCGGCTCGATCAGGTAAATTGGTCAGTGATAGGGCCAAGCCGGCTCGGCCATTTCAATCAGATTTCAATCTAGGGAAAAGTTTATATAGAGCCCCGGCCCGGCCCCGGCCCCGGCCCCTGCCCCACCCGTCTCTTTTTTTACTTTTGCCTTGATTTTTTTTTCTTGTAGTGTATTTGGCTCGGCCCAACCTTTGCCTAAAGGCCAGAGCCTCTTCAGCAAAGTCTAAGCCTAGCCAAGCTCAAGACGGCCTTGTTGGGATTAGGGCTGGGGCCTTGATGCCCATGCCCAACCATGGCCAGCCCTAATACTTGAATGATATGGTACCCGAATCAAACAAGACGCTTTAAGTGTCGTCATATTGAAAGGGACGACAATACTGATGTCCTAGGTCGCTTTCCACGCTTGCTCAAGCGAGTCAACATGACTCGTTCAAATCTCACTTCTGTTTTTGACGCAATCAAAAGGGTTGTATACAGAGACCTTCTTGGCCTCATTCTCCGAAACAGTCACCTCCATGAATTCGTTTCAGGTTTCACTATCAACGCGAGAACGACTTATACTTGTTATTGAGACCCTAAGTATTTGTTTTTATTCCCCAATTCAACATGTTTCACTATCAAAGTGAGACTATTTTTTACTTCTCAATGAGTTTGTTGAACCATCAATTTTTGTGTAATTTTTCTCGCCATCAACGTCGGGTAAATCTCTCTCCGATTATATGCTCCTCACAATGTGAAGAAAACATCACATCTCTCTCTCTCTCTCTCCTCTGTTAAGAAAAAGCAGTGTCTAAGAACCCAAAGATTTCTAATCCAGATCGTTGATTTGGATGGAGATCGGTCAAGATCGAGTCCCGGCTCGCTTACCCCCCTGATACCCTTTTATATATGTTTTTTAAATTTTTATTTAGGCTTGATGTTTTTTAAATCCCCTCTAAATTCCCACCCCCCATAAATCTATATCTTCATTTTTATTTTATTTTATTATTTCCTGAATAACCGATTTGGACTATCCAGACCCAATCCAAATCGCCGATCTGGCAAACTAATACCGATCTATCCGAGTTCTAAAACACTAGGAAAAAAATTGTAATCACTTTCTCCCTCTTTCTTGTAATTGTTATCCGTCATTACAAAGTATTAGTATTTTCAATTATTTTTATGTTTTTGATTATTCACATCCAATTAAGTTTTAAATCTATCTTATCATGCTCGTCTATTCGTCAGCGACTGATTTGTTACGAGTTAGTTAACATGGATGGACGTCAACCAAATTATTAGAATTATTTATCCATTTTAAGACACATCTATCATGAATCACAAACTATAAAAGCTTAAAT